ATAAGCTAGGGATGGTAGAAGGAGTTCGTGATTTCCAACTCTAAAGGATGCACAAATAGGAGGATCCCAATCTGAGGCTGACTCTGAGATGCCTATAGCCAGACACCAAGGCTCACTCCTGTAATCCTGGGATCTGGGGTTCTCCCTTTGGAAGCCAACTCAGGCAGGAAAGTCCTCAAGATGCTTATCAGTCTGAAACGCTAATAAGTCACTTAATTGTATACACCTTAATTGTATACACCTCTTTTGTCTATTTTTTCTTGAAGTAGGCTGAGAGCTAGAGTGCTTTGGTTCCCTAGTTGATGGCTGTTAGACTCTTTCCTGGTGCCCTGGCTGCCTTAAGAGGAGAAATTTTAGCCAATCAACCAACTGGAGGCCTCAAGGCAGCCTAGCTCCTTTGAAGACTCCACAGATGCCTCAGGAAGCCACACTGCAACTACTCACTGCTGAAGCGCAACTCCAGCTCCAGAAGGCAGTGTTCGAATACAGCCAGGGCTGCTTCAAGTAGCTTGGCTTTATTATTCTTTCCCTACCACTAGTGAACTAAAGCTCTAGATGATCCTGCAGCAATTTTCACCTGGACCAGAGGGGGAGCACACCCTCTGATGGCCCAGCAGGAGTCAGGTAATTGGTATACACACCCTTGCTGCACCCCCTCCAGATACATAGGCAGAGCATTCAGCTTTTTTTTTTTTTTTTGGTCAGTCATGGGGCTTGAACTCTGGGCCTGAGCTCTTCAGCTCAAGGCTAGCTCTCTACCACTTGAGCCACAGTGCCACTTCCGGTTTTCTGGTGGTTTATTGGAGATAGGAGTCTCACAGTCTCTCCTGCCCGGGCTGGCTTTGAACAGCGATCCTCAGATCTCAGCCTCCTGAGTAGCTAGGATTACAGGCGTGAGCCACCAGCGCCCGGCTACTTTTGATCTTTATCATTGGTAAAGCAGGCTGAGCGTAAGTGGCTGCCCAGAAGTGGCAGTGAGTGGACGCAGGAATGTTCCATGGAGCAGCAGTGGGAGGAGGTGGTACAGACCAGCTGGGAAATGAAGATAAGAGATTATGGCCTCAGATTGCTGGGAAAGCTGCAAGGGGCTGCCAAGACTTGAGGGCCAAGTGTCCCAAACATCCTAGGCTTAAGAGCTGACACAGTAACTGCTATAGGAGTTGTAACAGCTAGCTGGCACTGCCTGCTGCTATTGCTTATTGCTTCTGAAAACTGAGGGTTACAACAGCTGCCAAGGATGGGGCCACTGGTGTTCAAGATGAGAGCAATAAGCCGCCAATCCCAATGACCTGAGTCAAATGCCACTGGCTTCCGAAGCCTGGAGTACGGGCTCCTAGCTCTCAGGGCTTGCGGGGCTATAAGGTACTGCATCGCTCAGTCCATCCCACAGGCTTTGAGTACCCAAGGATCAGGGACTACCAATACAAGAGCTTCTCACTTCAATTTCTTTTGGGAAGTACAAATAGACTCCCACAATCTGACTGGCAAGGCCATTTCCTGTCTGCTTTCCTATTCCTTGGCCTACGTCCTCATGTGGCAGAGCTCATTCTTTTTGAGAATGAATACACGGGACACCCACTGCTGAAGAACTTGAATGTCTACGTTTTGAGATGAGGCTCAGTGGTAAGAGCCCATGTGCAAGGCTCTGGGGCTTGAGCCTCAGCACCACAGCAAAGCTAGTAAAAGTGTTTAGAATCGGACACCCCTAAGGACCTATGCTTTTTCCAGTGGCTATTTTTGTGAGTACCCCGTTCTTGTTTTATGATGGCTCTCATCCCTTTGCAAACATCAGTGGACACCTTCAATGGAAACTGACATTGTTTCGAAGTGGCAAGTGTTTTTCTGACACTTTCTTCCCTCTCCCTGCATAGTCTGTTTTCTCCATGAAACTCCTTTTCTGTGTGCTTTTGTCCTTGACTGTCTATCTATATTTATGGTTGGCATCCACAAATACCAAGCTCCAAGTACCCTGGGAGCTTGTAGACTGATTGATTGCCTCTGAGCCACCTGGCTGGGACATTTAGTTGGGGAACTTCTGATGCTGGAGTATTGTGTTTTATATGAGGACAAGAAACCCCTGGGAAAGACATTTTCCAGCTCCTGCCTGGCTGCCAGTGTCCTGAGTGGCCCCAGCCCAAAGACCCTGAGTTTACCCCTTCAGTGACGGATCTTCCATCTCTGCTAGTGTGGGGAGGGGGCAGTTGCTGGGCCCCACAGGAGGAGGCTGGGCGTCTGGGCTGCAGCTGATTTACTTGATACAGTTGCTACAGCTATCCCTCTCCCTTCCCCGGGGGCAAGTAGAACTCACTGCTCGGTGTGGGTGTGGGTGTGGGGGGTCCTGTGGTACAGATGGGGCTGACTCCCACGTTTTTGTTGGTGGCCTTTGGGCTCACTTTTCCCAGGTCTTAGGGGACACCTGGGGACCTAGGGGGGGAGGGGGGGAGAGAAGGCTGTTTGCTCACATGCCATTTTCCAGCTTCCAAAGGGACGTTGTCTCCTCTGTTTTCACTGCACTGCCATAATGCCTTAAAATAAACATGTTCGCTTTTGAGGTGGACTTCGGGGAGGTAGTGAGAAGGGGTGTGTTTGTAATCTGCACACTGAAGCCCACGGCAATGACCTTTAGCCAGGCAGATCCAGCCCCAGCCCCAGCTCCAAGGCGCTGGCTTCAGGCTCTCCTTGCCTAGAATGCCCACTCCTTTTCTTCTAAGGCCCAACCATAGCCACTTCCTCCTCAAGGCCACCTGGTGAGGAGTGACACCAGGCAGGCATGGCCAGTGTGAACACCGCATACCCATGCACCCTCGCACATGTTGCTTCCGCTTCCTGCTGGTCAGCAGTGCTCTCGCCTCTTGGTGCTGCGCTCAGCCCTTCCCGGGCAGCCCCATCTCTGAAGGTCCCATAGCAGCATTTGAGATACTATGGTCTCTAGCGGCAGCCCAGTCTCTGGCCTTAGCTGTTGCCATTCTAGCCTGCACTGTGCTCATGTGCCCCTGGTGCTGGGCAAAGGTCCATTCCGGGCTTTTGGGGACATTTGGATGCGTTCCTCTCAGGCTCCTCCCCTGTTGTCCTGCACCTGCCTCATGGCCACAGGGGCTGCAGTGGGCACCAGAGTTGTCTCTGCCAAGGCCTCCCCTCCCCCTGGCACCTTCCTGCTTCCACCACATGGTGTCCCAGGAGCTTCCTGCAGGCTGGGGAAGGGGGCACATACTTTGCACAGGGCTGGGCAGGGGGTCTGTCCCTCCCCAGGACAGGAGGCCACCTTACCCTTACACAAGCCAGGCTTACTGCCTCTTCCATCTTCCTTTGCGTCTAGGAATCTGGCAACGGCCCTGCGTGGCTGGGCATACACTCGCTCACCTCTGAGCATGGGCAGAACCTGATGGTGAAGTGGGATTATTTGGGTGTCTTCCTTCCTTACCTGAGGGGCCCTGGAGAAAAACAGATGCGCTCTGCCCCGGGCTGTGGCCTGCACAGACATGTGAGTGCTTGGGGTGGCAGTCTGCCTGTGCCATCTGTGGCAGAGACCTCTTTCCACTTTTCAAACAGGATGGTGCGGCCAGGGGCAGTCATGGCCCCTGAGCTCCCGTGGGGACGGCAGGGACAGGGATGCTCTGGGAGCCTGAGGGGGAGGTGAATCTGCCGGGAGAAGCTCCGAGCCTGGCACCTGGCACCTGGCTCCCACGCACATCAGGGCAGCAGAGTTCCCTTGCTGACGGAGCTGGCCACTCTGCACTGGGACAATCAGGCAGCATCTGGTTCCATCCTCTGCCACCTGAGGGGAACCCAGCACTCTGCCATTGCCTCCCTCAGGGACAGCTTAGATCTGACCGAGCAGAGAATTTGGGTGGCACGGTCTTGCGGGATGAGGCAGTGTAGCGATGTCACCTTGGGAACCTTCAGTGTGTCTGTCCTGGCTGGGGAAGCATCTAGAAGGCTTTTACTTATTCAAATACCAAATTACCAGCTCCCCACTTCCCTTGCTTTCCAGAACTTTGGGGCCAGAAGGCAGCTATTGGGCTAGAAGCAGGAGGCGTGCTCTTGGCAGTGGCAGATGGACGGTCTGAGAGCTGTCTGACGTGGCCAAGGAATGCAGCAGGGAAGGAGCGTGGGCAGGTAAGGCCCTCAGTCCGTTGGTTTCCTCCAGGGGGAAACAGCAGGACAGCTGCCTCCAGTCACTGCAAGGTCCTCCACCAGGGACACTTAAGAGAACTGAAAGGAGCCCATTAATCCAGACACTTCAGGAAGTAGCGTGGTGGGACAGGGGCGTGGATTAACATTTTTGTTTTTTTTTTTTACCCCTAGATTCTGGCTGCTCTCAAGCCAATATGTACTTCTCCAGTTTGCAGAGAAGGGGTGTGGACCAAGCCAGGCCAGCTGTGGGCAGGGCTGCCCAGCGGTCCATCTCTGCCTAGAGAGCCACGAGAGAGGAGGCTAGTGGGGGCTTAGGACGCGGGGCAGATAAATCAGGATGGGAGGGATCGCAGGTCCCTACTCCCCTCCCAGCTCAGGAACACTGGTATTTGGGCCCTCTTGCCCTCCAGCCAGCCTGGCCTCCTGCTGTCCCCATGTTCCCTCAGCAGTGCCAGGGCACAGGAATGGGGCCTGAGACACGGGCTCACACTGAGGGCTGTGGACTAGCCAACTTGGAGATCCGGCTTAGGAACAGCCCTGCAGGCTGGAGCCGAGGACTCGGTGGGGGAGGGGCAGATGAGGCCACATGTGCAGGGTGATGGGTAGCTCCCTGTTGTGCATACTAATTATATTTTTAATCAGCCAGAATGAGGCCCCAGCATCAATCTGCCACACACAGCTCTGTGAATCATCCTGGAGCTGGCAGCTAGGTTCTGGGCTGGTGACCCTGGCTCAGCTGTGAGGGGAGCTCGAGCTGGACCCCTTGGCCCAACTGCCTGGCTTCCCAGTGACGCGCACGCGTGCATGCATACGCATACACACACACACACACACACACACACACACACACACACACACACACAAGACACTTCACACTTGATTTTATTCCATGACACTGATTTGCTGAACCCCCATTTCCTGGGACGGGGAGGACAGTGGGGGGGGGCTGGTGGAAGCTGGGTTGGCCTCCCAGGAGGGACTGGGGCCCCTCTTTGTTCGGGGAAGCACTAGCCAGGCCTCAGCCTTCCATCCAACCCCATCCTTTCCCATCCAGTTCCTTTAAAAACTGAGCTGTAAAAATAAAATAAAATGAAAATAAAAATAAACCCCTGAGTTGTTAAAAAAAAAACCAAATTAAAAATCCCCTTTGGTGTCAGAAGGTCCCATTCCTGAAAGCCAGCAGGCTAGGCAGGTGATGGTGTGGCACTCAGTCCTTCGGCTCAGCGTTGGGCTCCTCCTCCTCCAGGCCCAGGGAACTTTCGGGGCCTGGCCGCTTCAGGATGGCGCTGTACTTGAGGGCCACACTCTCCGCCTGCAGGACCACTTCCACCAGGCTGAAGATGGTGATGGTCTACAGCAGAACCAGACACAGCGAGGGCACAGTGAGGGCAGAGCCCAGCTCCACACTGTATGTCCAGCTGGCCCTGAAGCCCCTAAGCCTCTGTGGCTCACATGTAAACTCCAGCCATGGGGTCTGGGGAACCTGAGGGACCCAGGTGGTCTGGGTACTCACACAGTAAGCAGTTACAAGGGTCTGGGATAGGGTAGCCTCTGGACCGAGAGCCACTCTATAGCATCATTGGGGTGTGAAGCCATAGCTTTCATAAGCTTCTCGAGAGACCCTGGGGCTGAAACCACACGAGGGAGCCTGCCATCCTGGAGAGTAGCCTCCTGTACTGGTAAGGCAGAAGGAAGAGGTAGACAGGACACAGGGGTTCTGACCTGCCGTGTGGGCTCCTGTTCCAGGTCTTCAGGCTCCCAAACAAGTGTAAGCTCCGGCTTCTTCCCCACCTTCTGATAGTGGTAGGACCGCAAGGCCAGCGCCTGGGGTACACACACAGGACCTCAGGCGTTGGGCTGTGGATGCTGTCTCCCAGCTTCCTGCTTGGAGGTAGCCCTCTGCCATGGCCTAGCCTGATAGAGCCAGTTCCCTGTTCTGCTGCCCACTACTGGCTGCTTGACTCCACAGGGACCATTGTCAGCAGCCAGCTTTCAAAGGTGTTCAGATAAAGCAGCACCGAGGCTATAGCTGGGAGGGGCCAGGGCTCCAATGGTAGGACCCGCAGTAGTGCGCAGACTGGGCCCTCTGCTGGTGTTGGGTCTGATAGCACGCTCTGTGGGCTGGTGGACTGCAGATCTGACCTAGATCTGGACTTCCATACTGCTCAACGGACTTTAGCACAAGCACTTGATTGTTTCCAGACAGACATACTCCTTCTCTTCTACTCCTCCCAATTTCATTCATTCCATGTCTATTCCACACTATGAGTGGGACTGCATACTTCCAAGCACTCTAGATGTTAGGAATTCAAAGCTGGGGCAGAAGCTAGATTCCACAGGACTGGCTAGCACCAGGTTCTCTCAGATGGCAATAGGATAGGCATATATGCTCCTTGGAAGACTCTTAATAAACAATCACCAGGACAGGAGACAAGGCAAGTCAGGTGCCTTCTTCTTTTTAGAGTGGCTATGAGCTATCCTATGGCCTTTCCTTCCTAATATTCCAATAAAAGTACAATGACCAGGATATGAGTTCAAGCCCCAGGACCAGCAAATAAATAAATACTATACCTTACCTACCTACCTACCTACATACATACCAAGGCAGGCCTAGATGGGTTGTCCTGGCAGGGCCCAGTGGGCAGGTTTGGGTCAGGGTTTTGGACCTCTGCTGCCACGTGCCAGTGGGACCCATACGGTCTGTGTCTCTCTGGTATCAAGGAGGGCAACAGGGACCCCAGTGTCCTCCATGTCTGTAAGGCCACCATGGCCTGCTCGGGGTCAGTGACATAGAGAGGAATCCCAGAAGTAGATGTGGAGACAAAGAGGAAAGCAGGGAATCCTGTGCTAAGTCCGGGGGCGAGACAGGGACTTAGTCCTGCAGGACAGCATGGCCTCCTGCTCACACTGGGCACTCACGTTGCAGTAGATACGCTTCTGTACCCCGTAACGCAGCACCAGCACATCGAAGGCTTGGTTCAGGACACCCATCACCATGGCTTCCGACTCCAAGGGGCCAGTCTCCTGTGGGAACAGAGCTCCGGCCGTGGCACCTCTATAGTGGCAAGGGGCAGGGACACTGGCATTTCTTGAGGCTCCTGGTTAGTAGGCACCCTGGAGGGGCAGGTGAAGTGGGGTGGGGAGAAGGTACTAGGTCAGGGCTTACCTTGACCAGGACAGCAAAGAAGAGGTTGGTGCTAAGCTCCTGTACACGCTTGGACGCCATGCGGCGGTCATTGCAGTGGTCCGCCTGCTTCTGTATGGTACTGGGCTCAGTGTCTGGCTGTTCCCTGTAGCCTGATGAGAGGGTAGTCAGGGCCACTGGTGAGGGGCGTGGCGTTAGACAGCATGGTGCCCTGGCCTAGGCACTAGCTAAGTCCCCTACCTGCCCCTACTGCTCAGTTCCAACACTGAGAAGGCAAACCCACGGAAGGGGCCTTGGTGCCCACCTCTGTCTAGGCTGGTGGTGAGCCCCACTGTAGCCTCCTTACATGAAGGGGCAGTTTTTTTGTTTTTGGTGTTTTTTTTTTTTGGTCAGTTGTGGGGCTTGAACTCTGGGCCTAGGCACTGTCCCTAAGCTCTTCAGCTCAAGGCTAGTGCTCTACTACTTGAGCCACAGTGCCACTTCTGGTTTTCTGAGTGGTTTCTTGGAGATAAGAGTCTCATGGACTTTCCTGCCCAGGTTGGCTTTGAACCTGGATTCTCAGATCTCAGACTCCTGGGTAGCTAGGATTACAGGCGTGAGCCACCAGCTCCGGGCTGAAGGGGAAGCTTTTAGGTCCAGGACCCCTCAACCTTGGGCCATCTGTCCTTCAGGACCTCCATGGCCCAGCGGGGTGGCCTTTGGCCATTAGGCACTCATGCTGGGGGGTGCCCTTGGTGGGTGCAGGCCCATTCCGGTCCCAAGCCATGCCCCTTACCCAGAGCAGCAGCCAAGAGGCGGTGCACCATGACGTCTGCAAAGCGGCGGATGGGTGAGGTGAAGTGCGTGTAGAGAGGCACATTGAGGGCATAGTGCCGGAACTGAGCTGGATCGTGCAGCACCCCTGAGCAGAAGTACAGTGCCATCTGTGGGTGGGAGCAGGTCTCAGTCAGAGTCTGTCCAGGCCTGGTGGGCACTGGGAGAGCCACAGTTGTCAGGGAAAGTCTTGGTACAGACTGAACAGACAGGCCACAGGCAGTTTAACAAAACCAAGCGGGCTTTTGGGGTCAGGGGTCAGTCATTCTGCATAAAAGGACTCAAGAAGCTGCCATGAGACAGGGGCAGGCTGGGAGGCCTCCTGGCCTTGCCCCAGGGTTGCCTGGATGCCTTCCTCGTGACAGTACTCAAAATAGCTCAAATGGCCCCATCTCTCTGCTGGGAATGGTGACAGGATTCCTCAAAGATGGCTACTTGTAGCCTCCTCCCCTCAGAGCCCTGGGTCTCTATCAAAACAAAGAGGAGGAGGAAGGGCAGTCTGTGATCTACCCCTTACCCCAAACAGGAGGTCAGGCCTACAGACTTGTCTTCAAGAGGCACAAGCAGAAGCTGAGGCGGCTGAATGCCTGTCAGGCAGTGCCAAGTCCAGTGCTACCATCTGCCCACAATGGGAAAATGCTACTCCTCCATCCAGGAGCAAAACCCAAGGGGGCTCCGCAGCCTATGCATGAGCTGACCTCAATCCCTTTGTCCCTGATCACTACTCAGATGCTAGCTATGCTTGCACTGCACTCTCCCAGCCCCATACTAGCCTGCTAGCCAGGGTTGCTTGCTCCAGACTACCTGATCCTCCCGGCGTGAGACGCAGAGGTCAGAGACATGCCAAGAGAGAGGTCCAGAAAGCCCAGAGCCAAGTCTGGTCAGAGCCTCTAGAATCAGGCAGCCTGCTGCCTGGAAGCACGTTCACTCTCTTGCTAGGGCCTGTGTGCCTAGCCACATGGACAGCCGACTGCATGGCACTGGAATCCAGGGGGCAGCAGGCAGGGCCCAGCTTGGCCTCTAACTCCACTTCCCACGCAGCCCCGCTGGAGTCGCAGCTTGCCCACGACAAGTCGCAGAGGGGGTAGATACTGTCTCCACTGCAAGCCACCTTTTGGGCTTTGTTGTTCTCAGTGGTGGCCTAGTTCCCCAGACAAGATAGGGTGAGGAGGATAAAGGGCTCTGCTCCCTTCGGGCTGGTGGAAATATCTCTGGGTAGGGTGAGGACATGGTGTCCCTGTGGTGTCCTGGGACAGCTCTGTGTCCCATTTCACAGCTCAGGGAGGAATGAGGCACCACCACCACCACCACCACCACCACTTTTAGCATTGCTGCTGCTGCTGCCGCCCCTGCCCTGTCTTGTCTCACTCCAGTTCATGGGGTATTTCTGCTGGATTCCTCCCAGCTCCGTGACAGAGGCCCATGTCACCAGAGGGGCCAGGAAGCAGGGGAGGGGAAGCTCACAGGCTCCCCTGGCTGGCGGGGTCAGGGGAGCCAGAGAACCCCGAGCCAGGAGAAGGCTTCTATCTATGGAGCTCCAGGACCAGTTTGACCCTAGAAGTGGAAGGTTTGCAGGTAGGGCAGAAGGCACGGCCTGAAGCACAGAGGCTACTGAGCCTTTTTAGGTGGCAGTGAGCATGTGGGTGGCGTGGGGCATGTACACAGCCCCTCATGGCTCTGGATGGCTCCATTCCTAGCACAGTATGAAGTGTGAGGAAATAAATCAGTGGTGGCCATCTGATTCTTCTGACCAGACTGAATCTGCTGAGTGACCCCTGAAAAATACCGTCACCATCCCAGCTCTGGCCCAGCGCCAGCCCTATTAGCATCTATAGTTCCTGTTGACAAGATAGTTCTCATGTGCTAAAGTGCAGGCTGGAGGACCAGCCCTTACATGCTACTCACAGGCTGTCCCTTGCCCCGGTCATGGACCCAGGCGCATGGAGTCTATCTGTGTAAGCTAGACTATATGGCTGGGCCTGGAACTTTTCTCTTGCTTGGGTTCCCTAGCAGCCACGGGCAGCCCAGCTGTCCTTGGTATACGGACAGGCTCTTCCTGGGAGCCCGGCATCCCCATCCCAGGGGCTGCTGAGGGCACCCTCCTCTTGCATGCTCACTGCCCCTCTGCACCCAGATAGGCCCCAGGGCAGAGCAGGAAAGGCAGTGGGCTGAGTGCCCATAAAGGTCTTGAGGTCAGGTCTATGGGCACTCTTAGGAATGGGGACAGTCTTGGTCCCCCTTACCTGCATGGGTCGGGAGTACATGTTGGTGAGCACCTCCTTCCGAGCTAAGGAGTACTTGTCATCTCCGAATGTTTTGGTCAGACTTTTCTAGAAGCAAACCCCAGAAACCTGTATGAGATGCAGTTATATTTGGGAAGAAGTTCTGAGCCCATCATCTGTTGACCACTTGATACCAAGAGGAGGGATCCCCTGGCCACGGGCTCAGTCCTGCTGGGGTGCAGAGCTCATACTCTGTGACCCACACTGGACCTCTAATCAGCCCGTCCACGTCTACCTGCATGGCCAGCTCTCTGCCATAGAGCTACTTTCTGCCTCCTCAGCGCTCAGAGCATGAATGAGAAGTCTCCCTCCTGGAGGACTGGAGTCAGGGCTCTGGATTCCCCTGCCCCATCAGGCTTAGCTCTAAGAAGAGGGGTCCCGGAAACCAGCTTCCCTAAGAAACGTCCCATGGATTACAGGAATCCCAGGCCCATACGGAAAGCCTCTAGGCCTAACACCTGCCCAGTTCTGGCCAAAGGAGCTCTGCCCATGGCTAAGCCTTGAGTGGCTTCCCTTGGCCCATCTAGGTGAGAGGGACTGACTCCAGTCAGAGCCTCTGTGACTCGGGACTTCTCCTCAGGCCCCCCGACCTGCTGCAGGGGAGATGCAGATGAGGGGGAAAGGGACCCCGTGGAAAGTGGAAGGTGCTAGACTGACAGAGTCTCTCACTCCTCTACCACACAGCACTCACATTAAGGGACCCTGCAGAGCTGACATCCATGGGCAGCCCCATTTGGTTGCAGAATTCCACTAGGTCATTGAGCATCTTTGTTTGGGGTGGGGGGTGCCGTCGCAGCAGAGCCTGCTCAGGGAAGGCACGGTAGATCTTGTGGGCCACTGCCATGTTGGCCAAGAGCATGAACTCCTCCACGAGCCTGCAGGGGAGACACGGTGGCTGGGGAAACCCTGGAGGCGAGTGGCATGCCCCCTTTCCCAAGCTCCCTGCCCAGTGGCTCTCTTGTACCTTTGAATGGTTGATATAAAGAACCTGTCTGCGACCCAGTACTATTTATCCCTCTGAATCCTTTTTCTTTTATCCCCACTTTCTCTGAGCCAACATGTCCACACTGCTCTTTCTCTCTTAGTTTGTGAACATGTCTTGGTCTCCCTGCTTGCTATAGATGGCGACACGGGGAGAGCAGTGACAGACTGTCTCATTCCCCACTGCTCAGCCCCAGACACGGTCCAGCAAAGACCTCCGTGGATGACTAACTCCCCAGAGAACTCACTCTAGCTTTGCTTCACTCAAGAGCAATTCTAATGACTGCCAAGTGAACAAAACTAGCAATCAAAGTGTGTCAAGGACCCAGAGTGGGGAAGTGGTGGGAACACAGTAGACTGAGGGGCCAGGTAAAGCGGGGCTATGTATTGCAGTCCTGAGATCATTACCTGCCCCCAATCCAGGGCTGGAGGCTGTGCACTGCTCTTCTCCATCTTGGGGCTGCCTTGGTGGGAAAGTGGATCTAATCAGAGGCCCTCAAAGCGAGTATGCATCCTGGCTGCAGTGGCACTGTGTGGGGAAAGCTTGCTCCCAGAGCAAGGGAGGTTCTATTAGTCCAGCTTGGAGAGAGACTATCCCCTAAGGCTGCATGTCAAGCCCCAAGCTTCTTCCACAGAGGTAGGATGCAGCGAGGAAGCTCCAGAGGCCCAGCAGCAGCTAGAGGGCCTCTGGAGGTGAAGGCGGGTGCTGGGGTCAGCCTTGTCACCTGGCCAAACCCTCAGAAGGAAAAATAGGCATGGTAAGGGAAGGCACCTGTGTTCACAGCCCTACTCTGTCTAGACTGAGCATGCTGTGGAGATGTGCCCAAGAAGAACAGGCCCCACCAGACACGGTTCAGGCCATACCTGGTCCCTCCATCATGGGCTCTGGGCCCGACAGGGTTACGACCTGGCCAGGCAGGGAATCCAGCATAGAGTGTTGGGTATGCCTATGTTGTTCACTGAGCCACAGCTGTGACCCTGCTTCTCAGCTCTGAATCTGTCCTTGTGCTGATCACTGTTCTGAAGAAAACCCTGTGTCCCAACCCCTTCACCGACCACCAAGTTTGCTGAGATGTAAATTGAATCCTGGCTTCGCCATACTCTTGCTCAGGGTCCCTGGTCAGACCTCTCCCAATCTCCCCAAATATAAGACATAGCTGACATCCCTCGTCACGGGGATGGTGTGAGGGAGATGAGGGACCAGGCATTTTAGGAAAGAGTGGTACTTTCTTCCATGAGATGGGTCTGCCTCAGTCTATGCTACACTTCTTGGTTAGCTTGTTGCCCAGATGTTCAGATACTTATGTGCATTTGTTCTTTCATGTACTTTTCTACTCAATTGGCTCTGTTATGGTGATCCAGGTACAGTTTTAGACTTTTTTCTCCAGTCAGTCCCAGAATACTGCAGGCTGGAGCGCAGTCTGTTTCCTGGATGAAGAGGAGACACTTGTAACCCCCAGGGCTGGGCCCGGGCTGTATTTTATGAATGAGGCCAGCAGGTGGCAGCATGGCCCTACAGTATGGCTGTGGTGAAGTGGCTGGCAGGGTCTGGAGCCTGTCTGAGCCCTGTGGGGCCCTTCTTGTCTCCAGCCACAGGTCAAAGACTCTTCAGGCAGAGCCAGGCTCATCCTCTGTTAAGACCTCTTCTGCAAGACTTCTCATGATCTCAAGTAAGGACAAGGACAGGGATAGGGAAAAAGCAGGGCTTGCTAGAGGTATCAGGTAGCAACCACAGCCTTAGGCAAGTCCACTAACTGTGGACTCCCACAAGTTACCTGAAACCTGGACAAAAACAACTACCTGCTAGCTAACCTTGACAATGGTCTGGTGAGGCTTTGCATGCAGAGGCTGACCTTAGACAAGTCCTTGGTATCTCTCCATTTCTACTTCCACTCTGGCTCTTCCTCTTGCCCTCCAAGGGTGGAATTAAGAGAGTAGCCTGAGGGCTCTCTATGAAAGTTTAGCAGTGTCAAGCAGGAAACACCACTGTCGCTAGACAGGGAGATGGCGTAGATAATACTAAGTCAGGATTCCCTGAGTAGTGGCAAGTACTGGTGCTCTAGGATGGCTGCAGGGACACTTCTTCACAACCTGCTGTTGAAATTCTCACACCTGCAGGTAGGAGGGGGAGGAGCAAGAACAAGTCCTGTGTGCCCTGGAGCAAGCCTCCAGGGACTGGCAGGTACTCTGGCCCTCCAGTCCTGGTCCCCAGCAGTGCTTGGGAATAGGCAGGTCAAGCTGCCAGTAGTCAGAGCACTACAGATTTCAAGCTTCCTTGTAACTAGGTGTCCCAGGACAAAGAATTGGACCAGGCAATGCTGGCAGTGCGTAGTATCCTGGTTCGTCTGGGGCCAGCTAAGGGACCTATTAATCTTTTTTTTTTTTTTGGTCGGCGGGTGGGGCTTGAACTCTGGGCCTGGGCGCTGTCCCTCAGCTCTTCAGCTCAAGGCGAGCGCTCTACCACTTGAGCTACAGCGCCACTTCCGGTTTTCTGGTGGTTTATTGGAGATAGGAGTCTCACGGTCTCTCCTGCCCGGGCTGGCTTTGAACCGCGATCCTCAGATCTCAGCCTCCTGAGTAGCTAGGATTACAGGCGTGAGCCACCAGCGCCCAGCTTGGGACCTATTAATCTTAATTCAACTACTTAGTCAGTTCCCACAGTGACCAGCAGGGGCCCCTCCGCATCTTCCTTCCTGGCACCTGAGACGTGGCAGAAGAAGCTTAGAACCCATGAACTTCTGGGTGGGAAAGACCCTTACAGCTTACAAACTGCAGCCCAGTGGCTGGAGGAAACATGGTGTCCATGCTTCTTTCTCAGCACAATCCAGCTCTGGGGCTGAGCCGTGTGGGTCACATGGCTCTAAGGGAGTGGGGATGGCTGGGAGGAGGCTCTAACATTTGAGCTCCTCACCAGATCTGCCTCTTCTCAGAGGCAGTAATGCTTGTACAGCTGGAAGCCAAACTCAGATGATGCTGGGAGCTGTCCTGGGGCAGCATGGGTGTAAGACACCTCCAGCTGGGTATGGGAACTGGGAAGAGGGCCAGGGGCATGGAGGGAGAAGGGCTGCTGTCTGGGGCCTGCTACCCATGCTGGTTTGAACCTTGCTCCCCTGGTCTGGGCACCTGCCCTCAGTTGTAAGCCACCTCCGCCCCTAGCAACTGACAGCATCGCACAAGCATGAGATCACAGCCCTTCTGGGGAGGGGGAGCTGGAACTCAGCAACTGCCTGACAACTGCTCTAAGTAGGGGCTCAGGAATGGCTGCTAGCCAGGAGCACCTTCCAGAACAGCAAGCCAAGCCCTCGGAGACAGGGCCTTGGTCCCAGGCCTGGCATCTGCTGAGCATCTGGAGCCCTGCGCCACCAAGGCCCCACAACTCTGGAGGTCTAGGCGGGGCTGAGCTGTGACAGAAAGCAGTACGCCAGGGTCCAGGGCCAAGGCTCCAAATGGCTCTCTCCTAGCACCCCTACCTGTGCTCCAGACCTGCAAGGTCTGGAGGATGTAGGTGAAGGGCAGGTGTGAACTTTCTCATCTCAGCGAGCCCCTAAGTAAGGCACTCACCCTTGATGGCAGACAGTGGGGAAAGAGGGACAACCTCCATATACTCCCCTCTACCCAGCAAGAGCTATCATCCAGAATGCCACCCCAAACTGCTTAAGAGAACACATCAAAATGTGTACAAGACACTGGGGTTTGGTTTATTTATTAGAGGCCTCTATCACCTGTAAGAAGGCAGCGTGGTACTGCAGGACTTGCAAGAAGGAGCTGCATACAGTAGCTAGCACACAGCCACCTCGGGATCCAATCTGTCCCGCCTCTCTCATTTATGATGAGGATGATTAATTATTATTTTTTTGGGTCCAGTCGTGAGGCCTGAACTCTGGGCCTGAGTGCTGTCCCTCAGCTCTTCAGCTCAAGGCTAGCACTCAACTACTTGAGCCACAGCGCCATTTCCAGCTTTTTTCTTTTTGCTTATGTGGTGCTGAGGAATCGAACCCAGGGCCTCATGCATGCAAGGCAAGCGCTCTACCACTGAGCCACCTTCCCAGCCCGAGGATGATTAATTAATCATTATTTTTATTATTTTTGCCCAGGCTGGTCTTGAACTCTTGATGTTCCTGCCTTATCTTCCTAGTTGATTATCAGAGTGTGCCACCATGGCCGGCTTTATTTATTATTATTTTGTCAGTCATGGGGCTTAAACTCTTGCTCTGGGCGCTGTTCCTCAGCTCCTCAGCTCAAGGAGAGCGCTCTACCACTTTAGCCACAGAGCCACTTCCATTTTTTTCTGGTGGTTTATTGGAGATAATAAGAGTCTCACAGACTTTCCTACCCCAGCTGACTTTGAACCTAGATCCTCAGCCTCCTGAGTAGCTAGGATTATAGGCATGAGCCATTGGCGCCCAGATTTTTTTTTTTTTTTTTTAACTCTTTTGAGACAGGTCTCACTATGTAGCCCAGTGCTGGGATTTACAGGTATGTGCCAAACCCCACGCCCCTCCCAATCTCTCTGAGCTGCTGAGACAGAGCTGCTAGGACAACATTCGCACAAAGCAGGGGGCAGAAAAAACTTTCCAGAACTTTCTACTGCCCTCCTACCACAATGCTACCCTCTGTGTCTAAGCTGCCATTTCTTTTAAATGAGGAGCCTCCTTACTTCTGGTCATGCTGCCTTCTTCATACCAAACCCCATGGGGTCTCTTGACTGACTAAATCCCCCCGCCACTAGGTGGCTCCCACTGTACGTGGGACAGCTACACTACCTGGTGAGACAATGTGTATGCGTTTTTCCTCTCCCTCCGCATGTTCCCTGCCCCAATCCCTCTCCAGCCATGTTGAATTCTTGAGGCTCTTTGGTTCCTGTAACTTGAGTATGCATCAGTCTGGGTCACTG